ACAAATACAGACCAAGTAAACATTTTTCGTGGGAGACCAAAATTTGGTGTTTCCAGAAGTCTGTTGATAGTAAACCTCACCTGTAAAACATGGCGGCCTCTATTACATCTATTTTATTACTATTTGTGACTTCTCTTATGAATGAGGGAACACGTTTTGTTTGTGGTATTGATGAAGGTGACTTTGATTATGATGCCCTTCCTGGAACGACACACGAATTCAAGATAGAAGTTAAAGCTGGAGAGGAGGACTGTTTTGCCCAGATGGTGGCGCTGGGAGCAGTGTTTCACGTGCAATATGAGGTACAATCACTCACATTAATATTACACTTGCATGAATGTTTTAAAAATAAAGACCATCAACTGAGAATAGACTTCAGTCAATTTTTTTTCTTCTGATGATCTTTAATTTTATTTAAAATGTGTTCTTGAATTTTATCCTTTTCTTTACCGTATATATGGTTTCAAAGAATATCGTATCACATTAAGATACAATATAAAATAAAATTTGCTACACAAAAACATATATTTCAAGCTGTATTTTGAGGCTCAATTAATTTTTAAGAGTTGTTGACCTTGATTGATGAGGGATAACCCGTATCAAAAAATTGCCTTACTAAAATATTTGTACAACATATATGGCTGCAAACGTTACTACATATAAATTTTAGAAATATGGTACTACAATGTACTTCCCGAATAAAGCTTTCAACATTTTTGCAGCGAACAAAACAGTTTTAAGGGTATTCTTAAGGGACTCCGACCCTCAGCCAGGAAGGAGAACTCTTTGATTTATAATTCAATTCAAAAAGTCTTTAAATGAAGCTTGAAAATTAAATATTTTCATGCAACAATTTTCATTATATGCTTCTCAATGTGCTTCAAGGTTCTTTGCAAAGCTCCATAAATCACTTCTAATTTCATATCATGTTAATAAACATTGGTATCTAAAAATGCTTTTTCAGGATAAAAAAATTCTACTTTTAATTAGACCTCTCTGAGAAGTTCAAAGAACCTTGAAGCCCATTGAGAGGCATATAATGAAAATTGTTGCATGAAAAGATTCAATTTTCAAGCTTCATTTAAAGACTTTTTGAATTGAATTATAAATTAAAGAGTTTTCCTTCCTGGCTGAGGGTCGGAGTCCCTTAATATTAAATCTTTCGGGGGAAATGTATGGGAGACAAGTAACAAAATCAGTAATTATAAAAACATTTTTAGGTTCTGAGGGGCAGACAGTAACTATTCGAATGATAGCGATTGACCCGAGCTTAAAGACAATTCAGATCGAAGATCCCAAATCAGAGGGCTTCATCAGCCACAAGGCGACGATGGAGGGTAAGTCAGGGTGTGTCTGAGAAAACAAAGGAGTGGATCTAGGTTTACTTCAAAATGAAAGTAACACTTTCAGAGAAGAATACAGTAGTTACCATACTTGAAGAATACTTACCATTTATTTAATTTAACAAAATCAGTATATCTATTTCGGTTCTTATGAGGGAGGCCATTTTTGTTAATACCATCTGGTACATATTGCCAGCTGCTTTAATGACATGTATGGAGTCAGCAAACAACATTTATGCTCAAAAGTTCATTTAACAATGCTAATCAGGATCGAGCAAACAGGAACATCTAAAACATCAAAGGAGGGATCAAGTGCCACGGAGGAGTAAGCATCACTTGCTGATATAAATTATACATGTAGTTGGTATTTGTTTTAATAAAGAAGTTTAATATTCAACATTATCCCAATTACCACATTGTTACAGGGTACCACCACGTCTGTATGGACAACACACACTCCAGGTTTTCGGGAAAGATCGTGTACATCTATATTGTAACTTATATAATGGAAGAATGGGCAAAATATATGGAAGAAATCCAGAGTATCAGCCTCACCGCACAAAACTTTTCCGTACGTACAAATCCTTTTGAGAGTTAACAGAATCTTTGAAGTATTTTTTTCGAAGTTTTATTCACTAAAAAAATAATATTCAGAACTGATCATCTATGCTTACTCCTCCATTAATGTACTACAATATTAAAATATTAGAATCAAAATTAACACAAATTTAACTCATCAAGGCATTTTGCTTGATATACCGTATATGCGGGGTTTTTTTTTCGCGTGTTGGAAATTTAGCGAAAAAGGGGTAGATAAGCACAACTTTTATTTTGCGTAAGTTATTTTTTACGATTGTAGATTTTGTGGTTTAAAATGGTAATGTCTTTATGTTACATTATAGCTGACAAAATTTCTGCTTTATATTTTGCAAATTAAAAATGATTGCAAAAAAGCGAAAAATAGATCCTCGCGAAAAAAACGGATATACGGTTTATTAATTTTTTTTTAATCATTCTAAAAGTCATCTCTAAACATATAATTGTCTACGACAAAATTAATAAAACTGGAAATTTCACTTCAGAGAACACTGACTGATGTGCAGACCTCAATAGACATTGTCAGGTTCCACCAATCAGAAAGCCGTATGCACGTGGTGCGGGACTGGTATTTAGCAATAGGAAATAACAAACACATCATGTACTGGTCCATATTCCAGATCAGCGTCATCATCATGACGTCAGTATTTCAGATTTTCTGTCTCCGGAGATTATTCCGCACTACAGCAGTGACACCGTCACAAAAACCTAGAGCCTAGCGATCCTTCAATTGGTGGAAGCAATTGACTTTACATGTAACTTGCCTTAAAGCCATCATGCATGGTTAAAAACGTATCGTGGTTAATACGTATATATATGAGATGGTATCTACACTATTTCCTTTCTCGTAGATTGGCTACAACTTTTGCATACTGATCTAGGGGGCCTGGTGGGTATATCAATAACTACGCAACGGGCATTTTTGCCCAAGTAAAAGATTTGTTAAACACAAAAAGATGAAAGAAAAATAAGGGCGAAATGTACAGAAGAAATGGATAAATAAATGTTATTGTTGATGGAGTTGGGAAAACTCATACAATATATCCTTCCGAGAAAAGGGAAATGTCCTAACGTACCTTCGCATGTATTCTACGAAAATTTTAATAACCACGTTTTCAGTTCTAGCCAAGTCAGTCTTGATACTAATGTACTGTTCTAAAGCTTTTCCCCATTTTGGATGTAGAATGATAAGTGAAAAAAAGATACAGCGATAAAAAAATCTTTATTCATTCATATTTTATATAACCTGAAATAAATAAATGATTTGAAAAATATAAAAAATTGTTTCTAACAACAAAGTTCTGCAAGGTGAAAAATTCCCCCGATCTATAATTGAGTTACTCTTTAACGGGAGTGGTTGGTAAAATCGTGGACCTTGTCTAGGACCGCACATAAGCATAAATTAAAAATAATGTTTTGTCTATATTTTATGAAAAAAAAATTAAGATGCACTAAAATATAATGAATAAATATTTTCTAAAAATTTCAGCTTATGTTTTCCATCATTTTTTAATAGAAACGCTTTCTCCGTGCAACGATTGTACGATTTTACCGTGCAACCCTCATAAATCCAGGATCGAAAAAAGGGTTTTTTTCGAAAATAACGGTTTAATAAGGAACCCTTTAATTAAACAATCATATTTGATCATTGCAATTGTGTAACAAATTCAAAAAATCACATTCGTATTATGGATGTTCAAGAATTCATGTTCATGTTTTACATGAATATTATATCCTGTATGATAATGAGGACCTTAGATCAGGGGGAAGGCTTGGAGGTCAGTGTTTGCTCTGCTACAATTTTGTATTGTCTATGGACTTGAATAGCTTGAATACTGTTCGTCTAGAAAACTAAATTTTTTTAAAAATGGCATTGACTAATTGTCAAATGGATTAAATGTATAGATATATGTTACAATCGCGTATTAATTGATAGACTGAGGGGAATCTGAAAACCATCTATCTTTATATATTAATAATCTAGAAGTTAAAAAAATTAAATAGATTACATGATCAGTACGTATTTGGGCCCTGCTGACAAAGCAGGAAAAAATATTGTCTTCGTTTGATCATGAAAGACTCATTGTATAAAATATTTTAGAAGAACTTGGATTGAATTTTACAAGTGGTAATCCAACTTATGCTCATAATTCGATCCCTTTCTTAGGAAGAAATTCTTCAAAATCATATGTCAGTTTTAAATATTTTTAATATTCCAAACAACCAAAATGATTTTTAATTACCATACATATACTAGTATTAGATTTCGACACTTCATAAAAATCCCTACAAACAAATATATTTAGCTGGTTCCAGTAAATTTTCAACCAAGTCTCTTTCTTTACCCCTCATTCAAATATTAACGGTAATGAAGGAGAAACTTCAAGAGTACTGTGCAACAATATATTCGAAAGGTGGTGTAAATCAGATGTGGATACTTTGAAATTCCAAGGGACTTTTGGGCCATCTGAAATCACAAGATTTTACCAAAATTAACAACATAAAACTTACGACTTTTCAACTTTATCCACAACCATGTCCCACGATAAATAAAATCCAGGTTTTTTGATATCGTTGACAGCTACTTTTCAATAAAAATGGAACTAGTAAATTTACCTACCTTGTCATTTGAAAAAAATTATTTAGTGAAAAACAGTCTGAATGTACACACAAATACTCTGAACTTGAGATAGAAAAAGATGCTTCAGCTTCTGATTAACAATATCTATCTGGTTTTCGGAGACCAAGGCTTCCAACAATCCATTAGAATTCTCATGGGTACCGATTGCGCCCGTTATTAGCAAATTTATATAATTATTTTTGTATTTGTATGAAGCAGAATTTGCCGTAAATCTTATAGATGATAAGAAGAAAACTCTTGCTGTGGTTTTCAGCTCGAATTTTGATATATCTACGACGTATTGTCAATTAACAATGGTTATTTCAATCTCATGCCGATACCATATATCCCAGTGAACTTGAGATAAAAGGTACCACAGAGTCTGACACATGTGTTTCATGTTTGGATATTTTTATTGAAAAGAAGTAAATAATAATCTAACATTCAAGCTCTATGATAAACGTAATGACTTCAACTTTTCTATCGTCAACTTCCCTTACTCATGCAGCAATATACCTTCATCACTTGCATACGGAGTTTATATATCTTAATGGATTCGATACGCAAGAGCATGCTCTACGTATGAGCAATTTCTAAAACGAGGTAAACTATTGACAGACAAGTTGATGAAACAAGAATTTTCAGCAGTCTCGTTTTAAGTTATCGTTTCGTTTTGTTGTCGATACAATGACCTTGTCAGCAAATACAATTTTTCATTGAGTCAAATGCTGACTGACTTTTTCACACTAATTGTTTGTCCATTATTTTTATACTGAATTGACGACGGATTTTTCCGTTATTTTCCGATCATGAAAAGAAACACACGACGGGTGTGACCGGTCAGCAGGGGATGCTCACTCCTCCATGGCACCTGATCCCACCTCTGATGTTTTGGAGGTCCGTGTTTGCTCTACTCCTATTTTGTGTTGTTTTATGAACTTTTGATTTTGAATACTGTTCGTTATCTCCATATTTCGTGTACACAAATATGATTAATATTAAATAAGTGTGAATTGTTCATAGGATATTTAGATTATTAATAATGTTTCAAATGATGCAATTTTTTTTTCGTTCTTTATGCATTTATTTATGTTGTAAAGTATTTTAATTCATACTGCAAAGTTCAATAATACTTGATACCTGTATAAGACAGCGTGTCTCGTTCACTGTTAATATCTTAAATCATTTTCATTACATATTTTTAAGTGTAAAAATGAAGACACTTACCTGAATTCTCGAAAACATCCTGTATCTGTGAAGGAAAAAATATAATAAAATACTTGGATAATTAAGAAAAGCCCTATTTAAACAAGATAAAAATACTGGAACTCGGTGAAGAGACTTTTTCTATATAAACTCTTCATCCATATCATTTGTTTTTCCATATTATTAATATAGAAAGTATATTAATAATAAAAAGTAAATTAAAGATGATGCACTGTTGCAACCACTAATGAAAAACGCTAAGTATTGAAATAATTATTTCAATAGTGGTTTAGAGTGCATTTCAAAACCAAACACAGGTTGCAACCACTATTGAAATAACATTCACTATTGATACAATAATTTCAATAGACGTTTTGAATTCATTTCGAAACCTAAACCAGGTTGCAACCGCTATTGAAATAAAGATTTCAATAGTGAGCGAAATACATGTAATGATTTCAATAGTCGCTGACACGTATTTGAATTCCAAAACCACATTGCAAGCCTTTTAAAAAAACCCTTTTGAAAAAAATATAAAGACACCTTTTTTTTTCA